ATTAGCTCACATCATGTCAAGAGTGACGTTAAAGGTACCCAAAGATGTTTCCAAACAGATAATAGTCTACACGCTGAACTTAGAGGGACAACATGCTTCTCTTGGAGCCATGGACTAGTGGTTAACAAAGATCCATTGACTGACTGATCTGCGTTCATGAGGGTAATTATACTTTCAGTCTGGTAAGGTTTTCCTGATCCTGTTCCCCCTTTTCACATCAACATTTCCTGTCCAGTCTGTACACATATCAGTTGCAAAAAGTTTTTAAAAAGCATCTCTGACTTAAGCAAGTACATATGAGGTGAGGTAATATTTTAGTAATGTTTATTACTCATTATATTCGGTTTCATTATGCCATGGAAGCCGTACCAAGGTGCAACCTATCAGAAGAAAACTTATTAGGGTGTTTCTGCAACTACGGGCACTTTTGACTCTCCAAAATTAAATTTTTTTTTAAAAATCAACCCCTGTGAATTTTAATTTTACCCATCAAATATAAAAAGGTCAACAAAATTGCATGGAGTCATTAAGATTTTAATCTGGAACATGTTTATTTTTTATGTTTTTCAACTCTTCTTACAAAACGTCCTTACCGCAACGTAACAATAACGTTCGTTATATACATATACACATTTAATTTCTATAAAAATGTAATATATTGCAGCAGCTTTTTCAAATTTTGTGCAGTTTTGTAAATACTGATATTGAAAAATAGCAATATACAAAATAGGGGATTTCATGGTTTTCTCTATGCCATGTAAATTGTTTCCATACACACTAAAGATAACGTATTTAGCTTTTTATGACAGATGTTGCAATTTCAATGTGTAAATCATCTCAACTTAAGTGTTAAAATATTTTTGTGCAAATTAAAATATGAAAAAATTATATAATAAAGCAGAGCTGCAGTAATGAATTTTTTTGTCGGTAAGGACATAATGTTAAAGTGCCATGAAATCAAAAACAGGCTACTGTAGAGAACAACAGTAAAAGAAACAGAAAACATATAGACTGAATATTTGTAATTTAATTTACAGTAAACCTTGAACTTGTCTCTACCGCAACACAAGGTCTTTACCGCAGCACCTAAATTTGCTGCGGGAAAGACATGTTGCAGAAATGACATTTTTGCTGATATTGCAGCTAATTGGCAGCTAGCAAGGTCTGCTACATTAGTTTTGACTCTTAGCATCTTAATATACATGAATTAAACTGTAATATACATTTATTTTTCAAATGTAGTTCAAAGTACAGAATTACTAAGCTGTATGGTAAGGACACACAATAAATACTGACACAGAAAAGATTATATTTACCTTATATTTTTGGGATCTTGTGAGTGAGGTGGCCCAATCTGTCAGCAATGTGCTCACGTGCTAATTTCTGTTTCTATACTAGACTTGTTTGTCTTTGATAAAATGACATAATAAAAGCCTTTTTTCATTGTTATGTGCACAAGGACTCAAGGACTCAAAAGTGTGGGACAGGCACATATAAAAATCATAAAAATGCAAAAAATAAATAATGCAAAACAATTTAAGATGCTGTAAATTAATAGGTATATTAAACAATTCAATTTGAAATAATGTCAAATTGTAATTTAATTAGCTTATTTTTTGTATCTCAACATTGTGACCAGAGTTGTGGGACATGAACAAAAATGGTGTTTGGACCTATACATGCTTCATAATTGTATATTAAATCACATTAATCATTAATTATATGTTGTGTCAAGGTGTGTAATGACACTGTACAATATATTTATAAAGCATCATATGACAAATTTGAACATAAATCGAAAATGTCACTGCTGGGACTTAAAAGTGGCCGTAGTTGCAGAAACACCCATTAATAAAATATCCACAGTTAAGTCACATTTTTTAAAAACGTGTTAAATCAATTTCCTTCAATCACAATAATACATTTAAATTAAAGGGGTCATATGATGCTGCTAAAAAGAACATTATTTTGTGTATTTGGTGTAATGAATGTAATGAATGTGGTTTAAAGTTCAAAAAACACATTATTTTCCACATACTGTACATTATTGTTTCTCCTCTATGCCCCGCCTTTCTGAAACGCTCGATTTTTACAAAGCTCATCGGTCTAAAAAAGCGAGGTGTGCT